ATAGGACAAGGAGCAATGGCCTAAAACTCAAACATAGGAAGTTCCATACAAACATGTAGAAGAACTTCTTTACACTACAGGTGACAGAGCACTGGAACAGCTTGTCCCAAGTCTCCATCGTCTCCTTCCATGGAGATATTCAAGACCCATCTAGGTGCTTACCAGTGTGACCTAATGCAGGGGACCTGCTTTAGCAGGGAGGTTGGACTTGACAATATCAAGGTCCCTTCCAGCCCCAGCAATTCTGTGAAATGCTTACCTACTATTACTGACAAGGGTATGACTTAAAATGTGGAAAAATGTTCAACATAGTCACTGTGTAGATCACAGAGATTGAATTTCAAGACATGTAAGGAAAAATACTATGATACTGAACTGATATTGTTATGATGGGATACTACAAGATATGGGTTAGAGACTTGTGGTAGCAGTGATAATAGGAGAACGGTTGGACTAGATGATCTTGCAGGTTGTTTCCAACCTTGCAATTCTATTGTTGATGAGATCCCACTAAAATTGCTAGTTCCACCCTCTAGCTCAGAGATGCAGCATTGTTAAGTCCTACAGTTGACAGGAGTTTTAGTAGTTGGAGAGACACTTTTTGAAGCTAAAATCACAGGCCAAAACAACAGGAAAGATAAAAATTGAGAAGGCTATGACCTTTGAAGTGTTACTCTGGATATATTGTTTTATCAATATTTGCTTTGATGAAGATAGATAAGGAACAGCTGAGAAAAACACTGTATGACATTTTGGGAGAATGAAGAAACAAACTGATTGCTTGAAAAGAGACTTGAAAAGTTCTCAGGTCAGTAGATTCCCAGATCTCTATACCTAGTGTGATAGCTTAGGGGAGAAAAATATTACATTTAATAGAGGAAAAATGAGCTGAAAAATCAGGTAAGTAATATGGGAGAGGCTATTCCCCATTTTTTTCTGAAAACATGTGATCACTATGAGGTCTCTACAAATAGATAAAGCAAATAGTATACCCACCTTCAAAAAGGTTGGGAAGGAAACTTGGGTAACAACATAAAAACCAACCTCAATTCTAGGTAAGATTATAGAATAGATCTTCCTGGAAGCCATTCTCAGGCATGAGGATTTAAAGAAGGTAATTGAGAACAGCCAGCATGGATTACCAAGAACAAATCATGCCTGACTAACCTGATTACACTCCATGATGAAAGAGCTGGCTCTGTGGACAAAGGGAGAACAGCATAGGAAGTTTACCTTGACTTAATCAGGTATTTTGACATGATTTCTTGTAGCACTTCAGTAGCCAGATTGGAAAGACGGGCTGGAGGCCATAGGATGGTTGAGAAACCCTTCACTGTATTTCTTAAAAAAGTAAATAGCTTGAAGCCTAATTTATGGCTGGTTAAAAATGACATTCTTCAAGGTTTGCTACTGGTGCAAATATTGCTTAATGTTTTTATCTTTGACATTGATGATGGGGTGAAAGGTATCCTTTACCACGCTTACGAATGACGGTGAAATGGGTGAGGAAGAGAGGTGGTCTACACATTGGACTCTGTGCAGGGCTACTATTCAAAAGAACCTTGACTAGCTGTAGGATCAAACCAAAAAGGTATTTGGTGAAATCTGATAAATAAAGGCTGCATCCAGACTGGAATAAACTCATTCAATGGCACAAACTGCTGAGCGACTGCCTAAGGAACAATGCTATGAAAAATAATCTGAGAGCCCTGATGAATGGTGGTATTAAATATGAACCAGTATTTGGTAATGAAAGCTATCTCTATCCCTAGCAGCTGCAGTAATTGTAGCCAGCATAGCAAGGTGCTCCTGCTTCCATAAGGAGATTGGTAAACTAGAGAAAGATCAGCAGACTGCTACCAAAATGGCTAATGGGATGGAGCACAATGGAGATTTACGTTCTTGAAACTATAGATCTCTTATTTTATAAAGAGATAACTATATAATTAGTTAATACAAAATGATCATTAAAATTATGTGCTTTTAAAACCCAAGGCTGTGTGGGTTAAGAAACTAATGTGGAAACAGAATCTATGTGTTTGATAGGAAGCAATATTCTTTCCAAATATAAAAAGGTTAAGAAAAACAAAGTAGTATCTACCCTTAGAATTCCAATTTGCATTATGGCAAAGATGAGAAATAAACAGATTAGAGGAGTTTTATGATTGGTATATTCAGTATTCTCCTTTTAGATTTATTCTCATGTGCCTTGGTTTCCATAGCTACTAGTTTAATCATGATGCACAGAGCTATTTCTAATTACAGTATATGCCAGCATAAAATTAATTCTTTGAGTATCTTAAGTAACAAACAGCTTACAGCTTGTTCCTTGAAATTCTATTACCACATATCCTGGAATAGCACATCATCTTTGACCTATTCAATTTCATTTGAAATAAGTTTTTAAATATATACCTGCTTTGATCTATGTCAAAGGAGTGTATTGATGAAGGAATGGAGTATATCCAAGGCTGATATATTAATTTTATATGGTATGATGACTGAGCATCCATTACAATCCATCTAGTTTTCAAATAGTTTTTAATCAATGAAGTCTGTAATGTCTTCGTATTCTTTAAATAAGTATTTTTTTTTCTTCATAGAATAATAGAACAGATTACATATACCTTCTGTCCTGAAAATCTTGCAATATGCAGGACTCAATTTCCAAAACAGAATGCAGGTGAAGTAGACATACATTTCAGTGTGAATTAGCTCTAATTAACTCAGTGAGTGCAGGTAGGTCATGTATGAAGTGCTAAACATAGAACACGGAAGTTAGTGGCAGCTGATTATCAGTGCCATTGAAAACGATACTAAACCTTGTTGATCTTTAGCTATTAAATAAAACAGTTATTTTACCTTTTTTTGTGTGCAATCTTAAATTATTACTCAAATAACAATTACAATTTATTTCCTTATTCAACACGTTTCTCATTCCCAAGCCCTGGCTATATTAAAGTGTTATCTTCCTAAACATGTTTCTGCAACATAAAGTGGCATAAGAAGAATCAGAACAATTGGAGTTCTTGTCTAACAACAATCTGCTTAAACAAAATGTCTTTGTATTTTAATAATCTGTGTTGTTGGGAATCTAAAATAGTCTTTCCTTATGTGTTAAGTCATGATAGGGATTTGCAGATTGACAGAGATATGAACTCCCAAGTAACAGCGGTTGGATGAGGGGTAACAGCCTCACATTGCACCAGGGAAAGTTCTGGTTGGATGTTAGGAAAAACTTCTCTTAAGAAGTGGCTGGTCATTAGAACAGGCTACCCAAGAAGGTGGTGGAGTCACCATCCCTAGAGACATTCAAGAAACATGGAGACATAGTACGTCAGCACATAGTTTAGTGGGCAACATTGGTGGTAGGCAGATGGTTGGACTCCATAATCTTAGAAACCTAAGGTTTCTCTGACCTTAGTGACCCTCATGATTTTTAAAAGAGTGCTGGAGAAAAAAAAAATAAAAATTGAGTCCTATGCAGGTTCCTGTTGAAAGTTGAATACAATTTTCACTCTTAAAAACAGCGTATCTAGTAGAGAAAGTAACAAAAACTTAATAATATTGTTGTTTGTATTTTGTTTAAGTCAAGAGAAAAGAGATACGAGCAGCAAGTTCCCATGGGCATGAACTCCCCCAACAAACTTGCTTAGTCATAAAGAAACTATTAAAGTGGGAACTGATAGACTACTAAGGTACAAAATCTGAATTCAGGAAAAATACAGCCATAAAATGTAAAGCTAAATTATTGCAATATTATTTACTGGACTGTTAATTAATATAAATGAGTAAGAGTCCACCTAATAGGGGACAGACCCAAAACATTACATACAGTAGAAGAGATGTTTAATCAGTGACTAACTGCAAGAACCCAATAGAATTCATCTGAAATTACTGAAAGAAACCTGAAATTGCTTAATTAGTATCTGTAGCATTTAATCTACAACTAGTTTTAGTACTTACCAGTGATACATAACAAAAGAACGTACTTTTAAAATTATCAAAAGGGACTGTAGATATTTCATTATTTTTTAACAATAGGAAGGAGAAATTGTGGTATACTAGGTTGCTTTTTTTTCTTTTTCCATAAAGAAACAGAATTGTTTCTAACAAATTCTTAGCAGTACTAACTAAAGCATTGTAGGGAGACTAACAGTCACATATAGAAAAAAAAAAATAAAGAGTCAAACTCACCCAACTGGCAAAGGAGCCCTCTGACAACACAGCCTAGGTTCAAGAAACATCCCACTATCTGTGGCTGGCCCTTATATGAGCCCAGGTTGTGTCCACATTGGGTTCACTCTTTCTGGTCATGTGGGGAGCACAGGTGTGAACAATGTGACCGTGCTTCCTGGGACAGCCACAGCCCTTCACCAGGTGCTCCATCACCTGTTCAAGCACTGACCTAACAGTTCCCTTATATGTACCATGCAGAGAATTACACTTCATTAAGGGCTTGTTTGAATCTTTTTTGACAGAGAATGGAAGTGAATTTGTATCCTCTATTTTGAGTGAGTATTCCTCAATTGAACTTCAGTGAAAAATATATTTTACATTTTCTGTCTTTTACAGTGAAATCATTATTTCCTGATTTCTGAACAAAAAGTAGTTGGTATATGTGTCTGTGGTGTTCCCTGCATAGTCTCAATATTATCTATATATTAGGTACTCTGTGAGTCTCAGCTACAAAATGAGCCAAATCATTATAGACCTGTGATACAAAGCATACCTTTTGTTACAGAAATAGATTGCTCAACAGGAGAGTAACTTACCCTGACCTTACCTTTGTAGGCAGATACTGGGGTATTCCCTGGGTTAACGAGGTGTAGTTAGAAATGCTAAGTCACAGCTTAAACCAGTGATGAAGCATCTGATGGGAAGTCAGGGCCAACACAGGGGAGCTCAGGTGCACTTAATGCATCTGAGTGGCCAGAAGGGGTGGAGCCAGGATCCACTTTCCAAGATCTTATTTAAGAGCTGGCAGTGGAGGTAAAAGGATCTTGCTGGAGCACCCTGTATACCTTAGATAATACATTTTTGGAGGTAAGCATTTTGTTTTCTTTATTTTTGTGCCTACTGCTGTTGCATTGAAGCAAGTTCTTATGCATTGTAGTCTCTGGCCTACTTTGATGTTGTTGTTGAGTTTTTGATCTTATTATATGGGGATGCTGTTCTCAGTACTTAACTTAGCTGTGCCTTAGTGTTTGGGTACTTGAAGGGGAGTGTAGATAGGAACTACTAAATATCACTACTTGTAACTGAAGAGAATTCTGTGGCAACAATATGATTAAGTTATTATTAAATTAGTAAAGATCCTTCTTCTGTTTTTTTTTAAGGCTAACAGATTTTAAAATCTCAACGAGTACTTTATTTTTTAAAAACAAGTTTTTGAGAATTAATACTACTAATTGCTAGAACAGTACTGTAAACAGACTAGTTATTGCTAAGTGACAGTGAATGCAAGAATCACTTCTAAGTTACTAAATGAAGTTCTTTTGGTGTATTATGTGTTCTGGAATGTTCTGAGATTTTATGTAGTTTACTGTGGTATGTAGAAGGAAATAAGTATGTATGTCAAATCATATTGTTTTAATATCCAAGTTAAAGTGTTATGTTTAATTGTGTATTTTATTTTGAATGCCTCAAAGTACAAACACTTTTCTTTTCTTTGAGTGAAATCCTGTCAACTATTGCACTGAAATTGCATTTACACTAAAAATTCTATTTCAGAGACTTCGTGCCTCAAAAAAATAAGTGTGTTAATTTTAAATGGTGGGAGTCTGCTAAGTTTATTCCAGGAGTAAAACAGAACTTATTCTTGATTTATTAATATAATACATGCTGCCTTCCAGGCAACCTAAAATAATGCTGTTCTTTCCCAGTGAATCTATTTTTTTAATTGCTACTGCTGTTGCATTCTGAATCCTGAGAAATTCTGGGAAGAGATTTACTCTAAATGTGGTTTAGAGTATCATTTAGTATTTGAAAATAGATTTGTGTTTATTTATAAACGTGTATTTATGCTATTTCAAGGGGAGAAGGCCATGTAGTTTTCAGCATATAGTAGTTCATCTCATAGTATATATGTATTTAATATCTTTGTAATATTTAAAAGTAATAGATGTACCTGTCTGGAAATAGTGACAGCTGAGGCTTTCCTGTTTTAAAATGTGTTGCAAACTCTTTGGGGTAGAAAAACTGATATGAATATTAGCAAGTTTTTCAACCCCTGATGGAGACCTTTCTTGTATGCTGTACCTGTTAGAACTATGAATGTCAGTTATTTATCTTACTTTTACACCTGTGCTTAGAACTTTCTTTCAGTGTTGTCTGAGAACTTAAAATCTTTGTCTGAAATCCCGCTGGACTTATGGTCTGAGTGTCAAAAGCCCAGATTTTGGAATTTAATGGGTTATATAGGCCTGATAGTCTGTTGCCAGGAGATAAAACTCAGGCTGTGTTATATTAGCTTAGGACAGATTAAAATTATCAATAGATAAATCTAATGCTAAATGCTACTTGCATGAGTAGCATGGAGAAGGTACTGGTTGCTGGTAGGTGTTCAATAGTGGTGGAAGGAAAAGGATGGTGGTTGTGAGGAAGTAAAGCAACATGGTCTGCTAAGGCTCACACTGTCTCATGAGAAAGCCAATGGTATTCTGGGGTGCATTAAAAAGAATGTGGCTGAAGGTCAAAGGAGGTTATCCTTACCCTCTCATCTACCTTGGTAAGGCCAAATCTAGAGTACTGTGTCTAAAAAGGCTAAAAGACTTGAGGCTGTTCAGTCTGGAGAAGGAAGGACTGGGGGGAGATCTTATCAATGCTTAATGGTTGGAGCAAGGCTCTTTTCAGTGGTGCCCAGTGTCAGTGCAGGGGTTTGTGGCCATAAACTGTAACACAGGAAGTTGTATACAAATGTGATGATAAACTTCTATACTTTGAGAGTTACCGAGCTCTGGAATATGCTATCCAGTGAGGTATGTGGAATCCTCTTCTCTTGAGATATACAAAACCTGACTGGGCGCTTTACTGTGTGACCTGCAGTAGAGAGCCTGCATTAGCATGGGAGTTGGACTTGATGATATCCTGATGTCCCTTCCAACCCATATGGTTCTGTGATTATTTTTTGATGGTATTCATCTTGTTGAACACTGTCCTTGCATTGGACAGTGCCTAATTATGGTTTTGTTAAAGAAGGGCAGCATTCACACTGAGCTTTGATTCTGTCTGGGTATTTTGCTTTTGCCTAACATTAATGATTTGGCTGCTTTTTTTTTCTTTTCCCTTAAAGTAGGGTACCATGTTTTCTCTTGTGAAATCTCCTAATTTCTAGGTGTATGCAATAGTATTAAGACATGTCTAGGGTTGTTGCATATCAGTCTCCTTAACTTCCTCATAAATCTGAGATGCAGATATTTACTGGAACAAGGTATCAAAATTATTAATTTGTAGGAAATATCTAAGATTGAATTTACTGGTTAAAAATCATAAGTAAACATGAAAGCTGCCTAACTCCAAATCCCTTCTGCTAAATAAAGGTTCTTTTTAACATATGCCAGGCTAACTTCTTGTCTTCATTGCTTGACTAGAGTTCTTGTATCTGTATCATAGGCCTGTAGGCCTTATCCTTTCCAGGAACAGTCTTCAGACTACAGCTGCTTTATGTAGCTGGATTATGAAGAAACAGATGGCTGGTTGCAGAAAGAAAATATAAGAATGCATAGAAATATTTGAGATGTTCTACTGCTGCTTGTTTAACACAAGATCATTCCATGCTTTTCTTATCCAGATCTTTGCTGAAGATGTGCTGTGTGTTGTAAAACTCTTAGTTCTCCACTCTTAATGGCTGATGAAAGACTGAGTAATGCTTGTGAAAGTTAGAACACTATTATGAAGTTTGCAGAGGCAGAAGGGAACTAGGCAAGCCGAAAAAGGGAAGATCAACTTCAGATTAAACAATGTTATTTTAATTTTGTCTTGAGTCAGTGGGTGAGTTCAAACCAGTGGATTTAAAAAAAAAAATCTCTGCCACACAGTTTATGTAGTGCATCTGATGCAAGATAAAATTCAGCAGAGGTTTATCGTTCCAGGAAGCTGTTTACTAGTTGGGAGTAACCCAGCTTTGTTGATTCTTAAGGGATAGAGTTCTTACTTTTAATGAGCTTGAAGATCTTTCTGCTTAATTGATTAGGCAGACTTTAAAGTAGTAGCACATAAATTACGTAGCTTGGGAAGTTATTTCTGTCAAGGATGTTATCTTTGCATCTCCTGCTGTGTTCAGGTGAGGATACTTTTCATTATGTGGAATTCCACAATATTAATATTTTGTCTTGAAGACCATTGTACTTTGCATTAGTGGTTTGAATTAGACTTCTACTATTCCAAACATCAGGAGATGGCAAATAAGGTAAAGTGAGGGTCTTTCACTGTGGCTGATATCATTTGATGTTGAATATCATCTGGCTCTCAAATTTGAATTCTGCATTTGACATCAAGAGTAGTCAATATTGATATCTTGTTCTGTGGTCTACGGGAATAAAGTGAAATGGCTGTTTTTTTCTGACTTGCTTCAACTTAATCATGACTTGCTCTCCTAAAATCAGTGAAGATGGACAATGATAAAATCAATGGTTCATGTGTGCCAGAGTAAAGAACAACACCATTTAGGACTATGTATTTCCAGTGTTATTTCTGCAGCCTAGTACTTCATATTTTATTGTCACCTGGAGCACCACTGTTGTGCCAGTAAAGTTCTCTGTAGCAGCTCTACGCCTGGCTAAATTGTAATAATCAATTTTGAGAAGTAGTCACAGAAGGCCTTGCTCATGACCCATATTCCAGCATGCATAACCAAAACTAAAGTTATCTGTCTCCTCTGTCTGCCTGCTGCAATGATTGTCTTCTATGATTCTTGATATTTGCTCAAGGTCATGTGTTTTACTTATTTTATATTAGACATTAAAAAGCCCAGTTTACAAAGAGCTTCCTGAGTACCTGAATTAGTAGATTTAATGCCAGTGTAAGCAAAAGCTTCCATGAAGTCTCTAGGAATGTATAACATTTCATTTTGTGTATGTGAGACTTGTTTAAGTTTATGGTTTCCTTGGTGTAATACTGCTGTGGAATATAACCATCTGGTTTAGCAGAGAAAAGTAGGTGATTTTCTAAGATGCAGTGGCCAATTTCCTTGTTGCAGAATATATTTTCTACTTGAAGATCTGCTAGATCCTTTGGAAAGAGTAGTTTGCAGTTCTTGAGTCTTCAAAGAAGTGATGCTTTGGAACTGAATTTTTGGAAGTTCCTCAAGATATCTAATGCACTTTAGAGAAGCAGCTGGTTTTCAGTTCCATAAATCCGTGCTTTCTCTATATATTATATCTAGTTCAATCTTAATCCCAATGTTCTAATTTTTTCAGGAGGTATAATAAAGGAATGTGAGCTGCTTATTGTTGTGAAGTTCATGGTTAAACACACAACTTTAAATTTTGAACATAACATTTTTAAGGAAGACACAATGTTATGATGAAAATCTTTCAGATACTGCAAGAGAAGGATTACGCTTCAAGGCCTTTACTATCAAGTCTTTTATTTTCAGTGTCATGATCAAATAGCTCAGGCTCTTTCCAAATGATATGGATGAGTTTGAACCTCTAAAAAAAAAAAAAGAGGTTGTATGCAGTGAGATAGAGATGCTCATGTGTAACAGTTAGGTTCCTGAGATGGAAGAGGACAGGGAGCATAGTTCCCCTTAATGAAAGAACAGGGGGATTTTTCATTTCTTAAAAGGAAGCTCCAGCACAAAGGTATGGTTAAACTTCAGTGTCCTCCCTGTACATATTGGAAACCAGAAACCTTACTGGTAAGTAATTCTTTCAGGCACAATTGCTTATTCACAAGTTATAGGAACATGATTTTAGACAGTCAAGTAGAAAATGGAGGACTTCTTGTATGATACTTTCTGACCAGTGTCCTTTAATGCTTCACATCTTGATGTCATCTGGACATTATTATTCCACTATATAGGTTTCTTCTAAAATATGTTTTTAAATTATCTTCAGAAATAAATGCTGAGTACAATAAACTAATGGAATGCTGAATGAAGTGAAGTGGTACTCTGCAGGGAATAGGTCATTCACAACAATAAGTAGAAGGCATATTAATGGATCTCTCATCATGCTTTTACATGTTAAAAATATGCTTGTAAAAAATCCTTCATGCAATTAATATAAAACTTCAAATAACAATTCTGGAAATTAACTGTACCAAATTCTATTTCAAATATAATAGTGGTTTAAATTAGACTTCTGATTGGAGATGGTGTTTGTGTTTTCAAAGTTAATGAGTATTTGCTTAGGTTATATTGACTGTCAAATGAATAGCAGTACTGAGTCCAGTTCCTGGTGTTCAGGTATGAGGACTGGTACTGAGAAATGTTGAACTCCTTAATCATCAAGAGGATGATGTATTTAGGTATTAAAAGTAGAGGGGAGAAAAATAAGCCAGAGCCTGTGTCAGTGGAAGATGTACAGGGAAAGTAATCATGGATTAATAGGGAATGAAAATTTAATGGACCTTAAACAGTGGAAAAAACAAGTGAAGTGTACCAGAGAACTTAATTTGTTAGAAGGAAGCATTCTCTAGGTATTATAGACTTCATATTAATTTGCTATTAATGTTGTCCAGCTGTGACCTGAAACAAAAATCTTCAGCTTCAAAAGAGATCTGTTCTTGTTGGGTAACTACTGCCTTTTTACATGTTACATATCAGACAAACTGTACTGTGTTATGCTTTGAATGATCTCTTGCTTTGTGTGTGAATATGTCTGTATTGCGGATTCTTGTATGGTACTGTCTTGATCAGGACTCTTGAGACCTGATCATACTTCTTCTGTGCAACTCAGACTTCCACCCTATCATCATTTTGAAACTTCATAAGAGTATAAGGCTTTTCAGTTAAAGGTATGTTATAAATCGTTCAAAGCATCTCATTTTAGGATATTACTTTTTATTTCTATTTTAATTTTTTGATTTTTTAAAGTCTTGTCATAGTATCTGTTTCCTTTCTTATAAACAGTGAAGGGATGAAGTAGGATGAAGAGATCAAGCTGAATTCATTTTTCTTAACTAAGATCAAGGGTTGTTGATATGTAAGAGTGTAAGCGTTACAGATATGACAGATGGGAAAAGTCTTTGTAGACAAATGGAAATTCTGACTGTACAAGAACGTTTCTTATTATAGACTGTGCTCTTGACTTGTTGAGTGTGTAAACTTGTGTATCCCAGTTAAAGGCACTCAACAGTGCTGTTTCAATGGGTGTGAAGGGGATGTAATAGTAGAAACTATTGCATGAGTGTGGAGTGGGGGCAACTTGAATATAAAATTAAGGACAGTCAAGAGTTGGCATTAGGAGATTTCTGAGTAGTCCAGAAAGGGGAGAAAGGAGAACTGTCTAGTTTGCAAGGACAGCTGCTGGCACAGCAAAGGGCTTGCTAACTCTAAACGGAGTAATAGAGGCAAAATTAAAAAAAAAAAAATCTGAGAGGATGGAGTTTGGGATACATTTTACAAAGGCTGGCAAGTATCATCCCCACTGAAGTACAAAATTAATTTTAGAAATCTTTATTGAATCTGGTAGATGAAGCCAAACTCTCATACCTAGCAGCAAAGTGATCTTCAAATGCTATAGAGGAAGTAAGGGACAATAAATATCTCTGGGTTAAATAGTAGCAGAACCCAGAAGACTCCCTTAGTTTGTAGGGGATGTACCAAGCATGGTTGTCGGATTCTGTTGTTTGTGACTGAAAAAATTAGTAAGAGAAATAGCTTTGTTTTGATCCTGGCAGCTGAATGGTAAACTTTCCTGAACTGAAAAATTGAGTTAGAGTTTAGTTGAATGCCAGTCAGAATTCATAACTTAAAAATAAAAGTGATGAATGAGTGCCAAAAGACTTCAGCAAACTTAAGTTTATGGCATGGTCATCCATAGGAAAGCAACAGTGCAGAAGATCTAGTTACTAATGAAATTGTGAACTGCAGCTATCTTGATAAGGAGAGATGACAAAATAACTTTTCACAGAATGTCAGGGACTGGAAGGGACCTTGAAAGATCATCTAGTCCCATTCCCCTGCTGGAGCAGGAATAATAATAATAATGATCAGTGACCCTGAACCAGAAACTTCCAAAACATTTGAATGTTATGGAATGATTTATTAAAATGTAGAACAAAGGAAACAAATAATCAAAGAGTATGAAGCAATATGAAAATGATGAGGCTGAAAAGGTTAAGATACAAAATGAATTACAATAACTGATGAATAGAACAGGAGTGTGATTTTTCTGGTTTTTTACTTGTTTTTCAAAAAAGGAAGTGCTTATAGCAGTATAGTGAAATGTTTGATGTGGAAAAAATATTTAAACTACAGTCTTCTCAAACAAGCTCACTTGTTGGGTGCTTATCCTTTTAAAAAAAAAAAAAATAATCAAAAACAGTGCAGGGGAGCTAAAGATTGAAGGCATTCAAGTCTGGGGTGCCCTAGACTAAGAACTGTGCTAATAAATGTACTCCCTGATGTGGAGAGTTTGAGATGGATAGGGGAAACCTTATGAGAGGCAACATGCTGTCTGTATTACTGAAATGTCAGGTCAAGTATTTATCTTTGCAGTAGATCTTGTTTGCTAGGTTAACATGGCTAGCACATAGAGGAAACAGCATATCCAAGTAGAACTTTACTGACATTTTGATACTATCTCATACATCGTGGTAGAGTGAGAGAGAGAATTAGAGGGGTACAGATTAGTTTAGCTATAAGACCAGTGCACCAATAGCTGACAAGTTCTATTCAAAATAGATTTAAAGTAGCTCTGCTTTATATATGCTGACTTGCTCTTTGAGGAAGGAATAGTTTTTTCAGACCTCCATTGCCTTTTTTTCTGTGGTGTCTTATTTCAGTTAGATAGTCTGTTAAAGTACATAGTGTAAATTAAGAGCAAACCAATAAAACACCATCTGGTACATATATGCATCTGCTTTAAAATTTCAGTAGTTTTTTGAAGGTCATTATTTGAATCCTATCAGTAAGGAGAGTAACAGCCTTCTGCTTCAGTTACCTAGGGAGTTTATTGTAGCATAATAAAGTAAGTGACATGAAAACCCTTTTAGCTATCTTGAAACACAAATAATTGTTTGAACTTTTATGGAGTAAACTGATCTCAAACTGAAATGATCTGAATTGGTATTCTAACTACATATGGTTATGTAATGAGAACATCAGACTGTTTCTCTTCCTGGGAGGGTAATACAAGTGGGGTGTTTTTGTTCTTAAAAGTTGTCTTTCCTAAGTTTCCTTTCAAGTCCCTCGTCATTTTTCTCCTCATTTGCTTCTCATTCTTTATTCTTTTCACCCTTTCCTTTGAATTCTTACAGAAGAGATTCCATGAAACTGATTGAGGGGAGGATGTTTTACTTGTTCTCTGGTTGTTTGTGCTTTGTTTTTTTTTTCCTTACTGCTCATTTTATTGACTTTCTCAGCTAGTCTAAGTAGTATAGCCACTTCATTCATTCCTTTGTGCTGTTTTACCATGTACCTGCTCAGGTAGACTGCAGTCAGTTCTGTCCACTTTGGTTAGAGAGTCAGTAAAAGCCACTTACTTAGCCAAACCATGAAATAAGGATTAGACCTTAATCCTTGCATGACAGTGCAGTCTAAAGCCAGTCTAGCCTTCTCAGGAGAGAGGCTGAGATTTACATTTTAAAGATTTAATTGAACTAGGAGTTTTAAAGGCAGTCTGTAGTGACCTGGTTAATTTTTAATGCTATTTTCCTTTGGACTTCATTACATTTCCTTAGTGCAAGTGTGGGTGATAAATTTTAAGAAATATGGCATGATCCCTGACAGATGTTGCTTTCTGTGGCAGTTTCTTAAGGTAATACAGAAGACAGTAAGCTAAACATCTTTTTTGCACTTCAGTGGTCCTCTTTATAGCTCTTCTAAAATCTAATTTTGTGAATGTGGAGCTACCCTTTACAACTTCTTTCTTTGGCTAGGTATCTGGTTCAGGCAGAAGAGTGGTGATGGTGGAGAGTAGTGCCAATCTGGATTACCATCCTGCAGCCAGACAAGATATGGGTTGCTACTTTCTGTTGCTGAGGAGCTGGTAGTCTGATAAATGTCTAGATGAGTTCACCTGGCCCCACTGCACAAGGACAAACTTAAGATTTCTGAAGACCTGAGAATAAATTTGCTGCTTTTTCACAAGATCTGGCATGATGAGAATACATACATGCTTTATGTTCTAAAATCTACATAGAGCCTCTAGGGATGTCACAGAAGTTGAATCTAGGGAAAAATAAACTGATTGCGTAGATGTGCCACGTACGAAAGCAAATGTTGTACACCTCAACAAATTACCTCAGTCTTTCTGATACTGTCACTTGCCTAAGTAGTCTGCATACATGAAAACTGAAGTGTCTCTGGATGTTCTGATTCTTTGTTTGGCTTTGTTCTGTGACTTTTCATTTGTGTTAGTACTGAGCTGTTGCACAAAAGTAAACCCTTGTTCTATTAAAGTAATGCAGGCTCCATTAAAATAGTGTATGCTCTAGATAGTGTATCTTGCTTTCTGAAGATGAGGAGATACTAGCTGTGTTATCAATACAACTGTCTAAAATAGGATACTTGGCCATGAATTCTTGCTGTCAGTTTTGGTTTTTGGCTTGTAATTTTTTTTACAGTAAGGTGATACTTTGAATAAAGATTACTTAGATAACGTTTTAAGATTAACAACTAGATCAATATAATTAGACCTTAAAAATATTTCTAGTTTCTGGAACCATTCAGTTATTTTCATTGCCAGAGCATGACTTGATGAAAATTAAAATCATAAAGGGTATACTTCTGCTCTTACTCAGTTCATTTACTGCTTTCTGAAAGCTGTGTTTATGGTTCCAAGAACTGCTTTGCTTTTTATATTACTGGCTTTAATTCTAAGTTATTTTTCCATTGGAAGGATTGACATCAACTCTGTGCATACCTATTTGGATTACACATGACTATATATAAATTATAAATACCACCAACAAAAAGCAGACAAACACCTATTATGTACATTTGAGGAAAATATTGTTAATTTTTTTAAAAAAATAGAACATTATTTTACTTGCTACATTGAATCTGCCTTGTCCTCCCATTTCCAGTGGCTTAGCTTCCTGGTAACTACAGTGACATAATGGATTGTTTTGGTCCCTGGAGTTTGGTGTCCGTGATATACTAGTGTGTACTGATAACCTTCAGTTTAAGTCTCTAGTGTTTCATTGTAACTCTTCATTATTTTCCTTGATGCAATAGAATGGTAGGTGGCTTGCTTAGATGTTATGTTGTGTTTAGTAAAGCTAATAAATCAGTGAATCAGGTTGTTAATCATGATCACCTTTGGGAAAGAGCTAAAAATTGGAAGGACTGTTCAGTTGGAAACTGAAGACCTGAAGATTCATCAAGGCTATACATACTGTGTCATATTCCATGTAGCAGTTCAGACTAACATAATTTAAGCTCTCTAATTAGTATGACTTGTTACCTTCCACATGTTAATCTCCATCACTATTGCAAAATAATTGTATACCCTAAGATCCCAGAAGCTGTGTATGCTTCGCCAGAAAAATTGCACCTGGTAACTTCTGGAATACTAAATGATAGTCATTAGAATGTATTTTTAATGCATGATGAGATTTGTACTATGGATAAAAGGCAACTCCTTATGCTGCCTTCTAGAATATGAGGAATGGATGTAGCTGAGTGGAAAGATGCTTAAAGCATCTAGCATAGGAGATTAGTAGTAAAACTCCTTTTTCAGATCTTTACCAAAGCAAACTTGTCTAGACCAATAATAAATTAACAACTTGTCTGAATAATAACTGAATTGAAGTAACAAAAACAACAAATGTTGCGAAATGGGTGAAAATGTATGTCAGTAGGTATCAAGAGTTATGATACAGGTGTTCATTGATAGCTCTATAAAAAGAGGATGAAGATTAACACAGGAGTCTACTCTGAATTACTAAAAAAAAGTCTCAAGTAATCACTAGACAAGGATATGACAGCTTAGGATTCAGACTGATTGCCAGGACCACAACAGTATCTCTTTTTGTATTAAAAGCTTTGCTTTATGCAAATGGTACTTAAGCTTACCAAAGACATGCAGAGGGAAAAAAAGAATTAACAGACTACAGTTAGTTACAATCTGCATTGCAGAAGATTTGTCTTGATTCAAGGCCAGATTGGATGAGGCTCTAGGCAAGCTGATCTAGTACCTGATTTAGTGGCTGTCAGTCCTGTGCAGGGTGGAGTAATTAAAACTTTGGATCTTGATTGGATATATATTGTTTGGTTTTTATACTGATGTACGTAAAATGGCCGTCTCAGGTTAGAAAAAAAATGGGGTGAACTTGTAGATGCCAAAGGGTAGTGTTCAATATGGAGATTCTTATTGAACAGTTGTATTTCTTAGAAATGGTCATGTTGAATCTCATCATGCATTTTTCTACAATGTATGTTTGCAAAGTTGATTTGTGGTACAATTTACAGAAAGGTGTAGAAAGTCCAGAGAAAATGTTCAGATGTTTTCATCTGAGCAGATTTTCTGTAATAGCACCGAGAGTTTGTGTTCTTCATTATATTAAAGCATAAATGATCTAAAAGTGTTCTATTCATTCTTACTCAACTGTTTTATTGCTGGAATGTTATAACAATTCTGAATGAGGCTTTTTGGCTGTGAATTATCATACATCAATGTAACATGTATTATTTGTACACATTTTATGAGTATATGTACAAAAACCAAAACTTGCATTCACAGGGCATACAATTCCAGTCATAACTGATTAGGAGAAAATTCCACAGGTAGCTCTACTTGGTGTAGAGACATAAGGAAGTACAGAATTCAAGCCTGTTATTTCACTTATTTTTGCACTAGCCAGCCTAGCTAGTCACCAAATCACAAATGAGTGTACCTCAAGGTGTAATAACTCCAATTAACACCAGAGGATATTTGTTATGTCGGTGATTTATCTTGAAAATAGAACTCATCAAAATTTCATTTTTATTCTTGCATGGATTTTTATCACAGTATTAAAGTGGTCTGAAGTGTAAGAGCCCACTAGGAATCATACTAAAATACAAATATCAAACCTATGTTCCTAATGCTCAGATGTTTTTCTAATTCTTTTGCCTTATGTCCTCTTGAACTACCTCTGAGTTTTTTTCTTGGCCTTTTATTTTTAGGACTATTTCAGGGGATATGTAAATGGCTCTACTTTTTGTGCAACAGGATTTGGCTTAATAGTTGAGATAAAAGCTTGTCTCTAATTTTTCTCATTCCACAGTACATGGCACTGAAGATCTGTGATACTTCACTGAATTACTAGGCATCATCACAGTATTGCTATATGTATTGTGGTTCACTTTCACTTCATATGTAGTTAGTATTCCTGTTTCAGTAGGAGTTTATATTGTTTACATCTCAAATGTGGTATATGGATTTTAAGGAAAAAGAAATAAGTATGTCTATCAATATTTATTATAGAAAGCTGTACATATACTCAAATACATATGTTACACATGTACATATGTTATGTATACTAAATGTGGGATCATCAAGTTGTGCTAATTAGTACATAAGATGCTGCTCACACTTCAGCTCTATGAGAAGGAAAATGTTTTTTTTCACAGGTTGTGACATCTGGCCTCACTTTATTTAGTGTATGATTAGCATTAACTTTTAATTCTTTTCATGTCCAAAATGCCTGAACTCCTTTATTTTGTATGCCTTCTAAATCATTAGCCTAATTAAGAGCTCAGCAGAAAACTGCTTGTTAATTGCTTGGCTCTTTTAATAGCATGCTAATTTTATTAGGTTTAAAATTATGTTGTAATGCTTCAAGAAATGGAGCTTCTGTAGTTTTTCTGTGGTGTATCTGTATTGTCAGAACTATCAGCAGCTATCACCCAACATTCTTAATGAGTTAAATATGTGGTGTCTACTCAGGAACAGAGACTTAATTTTCTTTATGCTTATTTCTTACACTGTTTCTTCTTTGCAGCAATGTCCGCTGCATATTGACCTCCTTCAAAAAGAGGTCTTTCTATTACTCTGTGGTTTAGCTTGTCATTTTGCTTCAGGAAATATGAGAGTGTATATGTGCTTTGGAAATTAATTTTCAATTCCTCAAAACTTCTCTTGTTTATAACTGCATCACCTATAAAACTAATTTGTTCTTGATGTTTGTATTGTTTATTTACTGTTTATTATTGCAGAGAGTACAGGAAGTATGTGACTTCACTTTGAATTTTTGAAATAGTATCATGAATGCCATTTATCACATTAATTCAATAAAACAGTCACAAAAAGTCTCTTCTATCATTGTGCATCAATAAAGTAGCATGGTTGTGTGAATGGTTTGATAAAAAACAGTTGGGCTGGTCAAACACTTAAACACATGGATATGCTTTAAATAACTTCATATTTCAAGGCTGATTTGTACTTACTAAATTACATTGTCAGAAGAGCTGAGTGATTGCACTGGGTAAACTGGTCAGGAAACACAGTGCAACTTATGAAAGACAGGGAAGATTCTAAGAGCTTGTTCTACCAGCTCTGCTGCCAAGCAAAGTTTACAACTGTTATTCTGCAGTTGGATTTTCTGAAAATGCAGTGTTGCTTTCCAACTATTTCATATACTGACAATAATGTTTCTTTTACTGATATTTAAGTAGTCTGAGCAAAAGATGAGCTTTTGGTCTATCTACCCAAGCCATACTAATAACTTCAGTTTTTATGAATTCATACCATGACTGTTGTTTTATTCTCCATGCTTGGAGGTGGTGATATTCAGAGACCTCCTTGCTGTCAAAGCATGCATCATGTTCTGCAATTTCTCTTATGAGAGATGAAATAGCCTGCAAAAATCCTTTTAGTTCTAAAAACTGGCCTTGTTTCCTAAAAATGAGAATGATAGAGAAACTCTTACTAGTAGCTTCTGAAAACCATAATGTTAAAGCTGTTTCAATACTAAAAAAGGAAATGAGTGAAAGAAATTATTTGCATTCTTACCAGTGTGATGCTGATCCCAGGCAAGAGATTAAATGATTCTTAGGAGACTTGGTTAATCAGAAACTGAAGGAATATAATCTAATTAATGCAGTCAGTTGGGATAAATGGTAAGTAGATCTTGTTTGACAGAAGAAATGTTGTAAGGACACACATAAAAGCAGATAGGGGACCCTGAAAATCAGAATCAATTTTTTTAGTTCTTGACATTTTGATTAAAAAAAGATGTGATACAAATTTAAAATGGTGCACTTCAAATAGAATTGGGATTGGCTGATGGCTCCCAAATCGATTTTAAAGGTGGTATAGTCACCCATGTGCTCTGCTTTAAGCAAGAAATTGAATGCTTTGATTATATACTATTTAATGTTTTAATCAGGAATCTGGAGCAAAATATAAAATCATGAATTATAAAGAAACAGCAAAAATGCAGAACACCATTTACCTATAAAGAGGTTCTGAGATGACACAGTTACAAAGTATATTTACAAAGTATAATATAATAAAAACTAAAATAGAAAAGTGATTCAGTGTAGTCAATCAACTTTTGGCATTTTGGTTTTAATGTTGAAAAAAATTCTGAATTGATATTGAAGTACGTAAAACTTAAATGCTGCAAACAGTTTTGCATTGGAACAACTTCCTAGCAGGTACTGTGTTGCTTGCTTGACTTATTCATGTGGACTGCATCATGGTGGGGTTTGTGTAAATTGAATTATACAGTAAGAAAGTCTGATGCTTTCTAAATGTTAACAAGTTCAGGCTTGCAATGTTTTTTTGTGTTTTTATTTTTCAGTTTGCTATGCAGAAACTTCTGTTGAAGTGACTTCTGCTTTTTGACTGTAACTTTACTGTCTGTTACTGTCCTAGTTATCATATCTATTCTGGCCCAAAATAATTGCAAGGAAGAAAATACTTTTGTATTCTTTCCCTCTCACCCCCTTACAAGGCGCTCATTTTCACTCTTTTAGACCTATGTTCTTATGTTGAAAACTGAGGAACAAATAGGAAAGTTCTAGTAATACTCTCAATGCCAGAAAAGATTCTATTTCACTCATGTTGTATTCTACTTTTCAAGTAATGAATTAAAGGATTCAGGTGCCTATCTATGTAAATTTCTCAAGTAGCTTGACACAAAATCCTTGCAAAGTTTGGAATATATTGTGCCCAAATAGTTTAATGTCTTTGCCAAATAAAAGATACCTTTGGTTTTTCTTTTAGGTATTGCGTTGTGTCAAACAGGAATTCCAGAACTTGTTATAACTCTTGAAGGAAAAGTATGTAATTCAGAAAAGTCTTCATAGGTATTTTTTCAGAGTTTTGAGACACTGGAGACACACAAAATATTCACTACTTTACCTGAAAACAATATTTGTCAATAAGGATTAGAATTTCCAGATGACAAACATTTTCATGATACAGACAGCAAGTCAGATTTTTCAGTTATTTTGCAGCTTTTCCATGCAACAACATTGACTGAATTAAGGCCTTCTACGCTTTAGAGGGAAGTAAGACGAGACTGGCAATTCATTGTTGTTCTACAACTCGTGATTCATGGTCTCAGTTACATAATAGGAATGATATA